CTTAATACCTCCTAGTTCTATAGGGCTTGGTGCTCTTTACAGCAGTAGTTCTCAAACTTGGGCCCCCAGATGTTCTTAGACTGCAACTCCCAGAAACCCTGACCAGCACAGGAAGTGTTGAAGGCTTCTGGAAACTGCAGTCCAAGAACATCTGGGGACCCCCCAGTTTGAGTACCACTGCTTTACAGCATGCTGCCATTGAGAAGAAATGTGGGATGAGCCACTGACATGAGGTTCTCTTAAGTACCCACACCTAGCTATATCAGTGACAACTGATAACTGGGTAAACAGCACTGACATTTGAATAATAATAAGTGTGTGACGTCAAGTCAATTCTGATTTGTGGGTATCGTCTTAGACAGTATTCAGAAGTGGTGTGCCATTCCCTTCTTCCAGGGGAGTCCTGGGACTGTGCAGCTTGCCCAAGGCCACACAGGCTGGCTCTACTCGCACGAGGCACTGTGGGGAACCGAACTCCCAACCTCTGGCTCCAACTCACCTACCTATTTAGCCAGTTGTCCAGGCCCGTTAAATGGGAACTCATGAAAGGCAAATAAAAGCTTCAACTGCACATGATGATTCTTGTCTGGGCTTGTTCCCCACCCCTGCCACCACATCTATACACTGCCTTTCCTACAAAGAGCTCACCACCATAGCTCTTCTCCCTGCTTTATCCTCATAACAACCCTCTGAGACAGAACAGGCACAACGTTTTACAGTGAGTTTCATGGTCAGCTTGGGGTTTGAACTCAGATTCCCCTAAGATCCTAGTCTAGCAAACTAACAGCTATACCACTGAGGTCTCTTATTTACTGGGAGAAAAGGAAGGCAGACCAAGGCTGCAGCATTTTGCTTCTCAAGGCAAAACATCTAAATATGTCCTTTCCCCTAAGTGACATGAGCTGCAGCCGTGTTAGTCTGTGCAAACATATCAGGCAAAATCCAAAGAAAGATGTCCATGGAAGCTCACATTAAAATATCATAGTCTTTAAGGTGCCATAGGTTTTTGTATTTTGTTTTCTTTCTTTGGATTTTGCCAGTCTATGAGGAAGGGATCCTAACCAAGCCTCAGTCGCCAAAGTCGCCAAAAAATGATGACCCCACCCCCAACTGATCTCAGTGTGGCTTCTTTGGGAGAACCTCCCAACAGACGGTGCTCATAGTCAGATTTTCCTGGTGGCTCCACTGGTAACTGCATCCAAAAACCTCTGTCCCTGAAGCAACCTCCTCAAGCTAGCCTTGTGGTGGAGCTGCAGCTAGAGGAGCTGAAAAGCAATAGGGACACTCCCTCTCTGTGGAAGCCCAGAAGGAGTAACTGTTGTTATTGCTGGTAACATTTGCTTATGATGTACTTATATATGCATGTACTTATATACAAGATAAACAATGCAACCTAGAAAGGACGACACAATGCCTCAGAGCAGAAGATGGCCTTTTGCAGAGACATAGACAGGCTTCTTGTTTGTTTTTCTAAACACCCTTTGCATGGATCGGTACAGCATGAACCAGATAAGATGCCAAGAAGGGCTGAACCCATCCTTTCTGCTGGGTCCCTGATGCCTCCCGGAGCAAGGGACACCGATCAGTTCCAACACTTCTTAGAGCTGGCTGCCAAAACCAGCTTAATCATTTTCCTAAATCCAGAGTTGATGTAATCCCCAGATCAGAGGGAGTAACACCATAAATGCATCATCCAAGTGCTGTAACAGAGGCTCTAGCATACAAGCAGCTGTTCCAACAAGCTTTATTGCTCGCTTTCATACGCTTCTCCAGCACTTCCCTCCGTTCCGTAATGAGAGGCTGCAAATGAGATTCTGGGGTGCGTGTGTACGTGCATGTGTCTTCTCCAGACTGGAAAGGGGATCTGTATACTGAACTTGGCAACTCAAATCAGGGCCTTCCTGGTAAAGCGACCCTCTCCCTCTTTCCCAACCACAGTCTGTCCGGATCTGCAGATAATCCAGCAGGACGGCTAACAGTTTTGGTACACAGCCAAAAGCATTCATAGGCAAAATAAGGCTCAGCCACTGCACAGCCTGCTGCACCCTCTATTTAAGGAAGAACAGTCAAAGTTTCATATCAAGGTGATCAGCTTGTCTAAATCAAAGCACCCAAACCCATATGCGTATATTTCCATACTTCATTCTCTTCTGCTTGTTGTAGAGCAAAGGACTTTGCAGAGAACAGAATTAGGGCAGTCCTCCAGTTTTCACTTCCTCTTCCATTTGAGTTTTTTAAAAATTTAAAAATTCTAAATATTTTATTTTAGGGTTGTTGTTATTGTTTGGATCACATTGTTTATGTCCGTGGGTTGGGGTGGGTAGTTCTGTGTTTTATTGCTGTTAGCCACCCAGAGTAGTACCTGGGCACTAGACGGAAGGGACAGAAATGGAATTAATAAAATAAATGTATGAGCAAATTGGCAAACATTGGAATGTTCTTAGGAAACCTCAGCTGAATTCAGTAAGTACAGCTATTTCTAAGCATGGAGACAATCAGAGGGTTGGCACCAGATGCAGAGCAGCCTGTCAGGAAAAACACGGCAACCTCCACTCTGCACTGCGAACAAGGCTGAACACACAGACTCAAACTCAGGCTTTCATGAGCAAACCAATCCTAGCAAAAACAGGATATGAGCAACATTCACATTTTCCCCTTTCAACTTCTTCAAAAACTTTCAAGTTCTTTCTATGCAATTTTTGAAGATATTTGCACATTTTGGATGGTTCTTTCTAAAAACTGGACCAAATACAGTAGTACCTCAGTTTGCAAACACCTCAGTGTATGTAATTTTCGGTCTACGAACCAAAATCCTAAGAAATAAATCCCCGGTTTACGTCGTTTTCTTTTTTTCGCACTACGAAAGTGTTTTCCCAGGGTGCATTGTGCCTATAGTGCTGCCCCTTTCGTAGCGCAACTGGCATTTCTGTTAGTGAATTTTCCGTACTACGTAACGTTGCCTAGAACGGATCCGTTTCGCAAACCAAGGGACTATTGTAAAATGATGTTCTATCCCTAACCAAGCACTGAACTCAGACCCCACTGTTTTTGCCTGCATCTGCTTACAGATATTTCACTACACATTATCATTATCTTTACAAGTTAAAAAACCATCTTTGTAGCCACGAGAGCCCAGAATCTTTAGGTTTCAAACTAAAAAGCTCAGATCTGCTGAACATCACAGAGCAACACCATTCTACTGCTTAGATACAATCTATTTAATCATAGCATTCCCTTCCCTATGAACTTTTGGCACGGTAAATTGTTGCCATGAGTGGCTTTCAAAGAGAATAATATGAATTCATAGAGAAAGTCACCAATAACTGCTGGCTCCAATTTCTGCATAGTGCAGTGTTTCCCAATCTTGGATCCACAGATGTTCCTGGACTACAACTCCCAGAAACCCCAGTCAGCACAGGAAGCACTGAAGGCTTCTGGGAGGTTTAGTACAAGAACATCTGGGGACCCAAGGTTGGGAACCACTGACACAGTGCGTCCTCTGCCAAAGGTAGTTCTCTTCTTAATATCAGTTGAGAAACATGAGTGGGAGGACGCTTATGGCACTCAGATTCTGTGTGTGGCCTTCCCCTAAGCAACTACTTAGCCACAAATAGGAGATTGTGGGTCTGAACCACCAAGGCACCAGAGTCCTTGTCACAGAACATCTTCCGTTTAAAAAGATGGCACTCAGAGCTTAGGGCATTCTAAAGGGAAGGAAAGACAAATGGGAGCAGATCAATCATCCTGCTCAGGCCCGCCTCCTCCTAGGTATGCCTGTCTTATGTTTAGGAGCCTTGTCTGTAGGTGCTCAAGGGTGGGGAGATAGAGCAAGCAGCAGTCTGTTGTGTCAAGAAAACACAGAACACCCCTGGCCATTTAGAAAAAGGGAGGGTGGCAAATCTGATCTTACAGAAGCAAAATGTTGCATGGCTGGGCAGAGATTAACCCAGAGGGATGACTCCTCCCCATAGTTTAGTTCCTTGCAGTTTCTCTTTCTCCTCTTCACTTTTCTTTTCTTCTCTTATTCTTTATTTTACCTTGGCCCTGAGGTTAAAGCTACAAGGCCATACTGCTGAAACAGGAACACACCAGATCTATGTTGGGGCAAAAGCAAAGCTGCAGGATTCCCCCCTTTTCAGCACAAGCCCTCCTCTACACAGGAGGCAGCTCACAAGGTCTTCACAATCTTTGTAAGGACACAGAGCAGTCCTAAAGGACACCAGCATTGTAAAATAGGAGCATGAACAATTGATTGATTTCCTGAAAATACACACATACACACTTGAAAGAATGGGTGGAATCGTAGCTCCCCGTTGTGTGTATACAGCTTCAGGGTGTGCACTTGTCATTGTGTGCATACAGAAAACAAAACAGTCATGGAAAGGACACCAGTCCTTTCAACAGAAGATGCCATCACTGTCTGCTCCTCTGCCCAGTGCATTTCCATCACTCAGAAGGGAGGGAAGCCATTGTCAAAGGTAGGATTTAAACCTGGCACATTGAAGCCGCTTTTTCACACCCACCTTCAGTCCAAGAGTACTTTCCTCACAGGAGAGAGCAGTTGTTAATAGAGTCTGTGTAATCCTCTTGAATGAGACGAAGGATTAAAAACCTGTCTTCATTTCAGTATCGCAGAACACTGTTCTTGTAACGCTTCATGAACTCAGAGGACCTTACCCTACACAAACTGGGAGGACACGGATAACGCTCATCCCAACTTGCTACTGTGGCATGCCTCAGGAGCAATCTAATTAGTCACGCATCCCTGTTACTTTATCTACAGCAGTAATCCAACTTCTGTTTGAGTTTTCCACAAGAAATGACAATCATTGCCCATGATTTATTGACAGTGAGTGCAAGCTCAAAGTTGAGGAAGGACCGGTCAACTTTGTAAAGAACCGCCCTACTTTTTCCAGCTACCGCAAGAGGCCAGCCGGCTTACGTTAAGTCAAATGCACACATGCTAGATGAGAAATGGAAACTGAGCCTGCTGACCTAGGTTCACATTTTGTTCGAAAAAGAGTTTTATTTTAAAATGATTATACAGTCTGCAATCTGACATCAAAGTTGGAAAATTGGTGGATAAGAATAATTGACTTTCAGGGTGAAGGGGAAAGGTAACTGATACACTTGTCTTCGTGTCTATTCCATCCAGGTTTAATTCTTCTCTCACATGTGTGTTGTACAGCTTGGTTTTATTCACAGGTCCAAGCAGGTGTTGGAAGCAGGTTACAAAACGGAGTCCTCCATAAAGTCAACTGTGAGAGTTGTATCACTTTGGATCAGGTCAAAATGATGCAAGAGGTTTTAAAAAAGTGATCGAGATTGTCTTATTATTCACAAGATCTGTATAGAGGAATAATCACTAGCACTATCTTCCTCAAATGGCTTGTATAAACCTTTTTTATCTGGTGATATAAATCAAGAGAATACTCCCACAAATGTATGCAGGAATAAATTAAGGCACCAAATCCTCCTCTTAATCTCTCAAAAATTAACCGTTTTGAATACTTTAATGGAAAGGGTCTCTTTTCAGCAATGAGTATGGCAAAAAGGGAAGCGAGCCTCTGCATGTTCAGGTGATGGTTGGAGCAGGATTTGACTCAAAAGGAAGTTCTAGACAAACACAAGAGACCTGCTGCCAAAAAAGTGCACAAAGCTCTGAGCTGGAACCAAAGTCTACTGTTGATAATGACAAATTGGCTTTAGCAATTTATATCATTCAGAACTCTGAAATAGTGTATCATCTCTGATAGAAGTCTGCCTGTTCCATTTTCAGAGTCTAATAGAATGAGGAAAACGAGCAGCACCATCTTCTATAGACAGAGAACATGGGTGACTCTCCATTTAGTGGCCAATCAATTCCAGCATTTCTCGTGGATCTATTATCTTCTCCCGAGGCTTCCCAGCCAGCTTACCCCTTGCCACTTCAGCAGCGTCAATCTTCTCCCAATCCGAAAAAGAAACCGGTCGGACCCCTGATAATTATCATGAAAAGGGGAAAAAGAATACAGAAATCAACTTCCTCTCAGTTAATCACACATGCAAACCACAGGAGCCCATACAGCTTTCGATTACACCCTTCTTCAGAATTAAAGGCAAGCTTTGCCCATCAATTACTCAGCAGATTCAAGAGTGCGGGTCAAATGAGATTAGTTATTTCACAGAAGAGTCTCATAATGGTGTGACTCTACCTTAAGGGATGAACTGCCTTTGATTCACTGAAACATCCTGAATTGGTTTAGAGAGAGCACACTAATTGAAAGCATTTTAATATAATGACAGTAAAGGAGCCAGGTAGGTTTTAAAATGCATTTCCAAGTACACCAGGGAAAGATTAGTACAAAAATAATTACAATTCAATAATCTCTGCAAAACCAGACCTGGTTCTGCTGGTCCTTTTCCAGGATTCACATGCTACTTAGAAACTATCAAAGTCTGGGATTCTGTGGCTGCATTTCACCAAAGTTCACCAAAGCTATCATTTTCCACATTATTACTCCCATAGCTTTATACACATCAGCTATGGATTACTTCATGTACCATCTATTATCCATGTAAGGGGTGGGCACACCAAAAGCCCAGGAACCTTGAAGTACCTAGTCTCATAACTGGAACACACACCCCCCCATGTTTTTCTTCCAAAAATGGGGGGATACTGAAAATGATACCTTGTGTTCTCTACTGTACCAAAGCAAAATTGAAATTGCTTTTTAAAAACTTGGGGTGGAGGCACCAAGGATACCAAGAACCCCTCCTGCATGCAAATTTGTTCCTCATGCCCCCTAGAAGGCACAAGTGCATTTTCTGAGCCACATTTTTTTCCAAACAACAATGTAACAGTTAACGGAATATGGAAGGAGTGATAGGGACACACTTGGACACCCAGAGACCATTTTCAGCCCACAGGCTGCTTGTTGCCAACATCTCGTCCACACAGATTTTCCTGCCTTGTAGCCAATTATGTATACAACACCAGACACTGTTGCTTGTACTTTACCCGGCTTTGTTATTATTTCAGCTTGTTAATTCACTTTTGATCCCATTTATTTAAGGGTATAAGCTATACCATGCATAGAAAAGATGGAGAGATAGATAGGAGTTCCAATTTGTTGGATTATGTCCAAGCAACAAAGTAGGCACATACACTTTTATGACACAATTATATATGCATGAACTATCTACAGGGGGGGGGAGAGAAAGAGTTGTTGTTTAGTCGTGTCCGACTCTTCATGATCCCATGGACCAGAGCACGCCAGGCCCTCCTGTCTTCCACTGCCTCCCGGAGATGGGTCAAATTCATTTTGGTCGCTTCGATGACGCTGTCCAACCATCTCGTCCTCTGTCATCCCCTTCTCCTCTTGCCTTCACACTTTCCCAACATCAGCGTCTTTTCCAGGGAGTCGTGTCTTCTCATAAGATGGCCAAAGTATTGCAGCCTCAGCTTTAGGATCTGTCTCTCCAGTGAGCACTCGGGGTTGATTTCCTTCAAAATAGACAGGTTTGTTCTCTTTGCAGTCCAGGGGACTCTCAAGAGTCTCCTCTAGCACCACAATTCAAAAGCATCAATTCTTCAGCG